GCTGGCCAAGCGATCGCAGCGGGGTGTGTGCTTGGTTTGCCAGACTCTTCTGAATAACAGTGAGCAACTTAGTAAATATTCAGGGACAGTCTGCACCAATGGTCATCCCAGAGGAAGAATTATAGAACCGACAGAACACGATCATTGGGCAACCACCGTGCAGGGCAGCGTAGAGCGACCGGACTTGCAGTAGGATTATCGGAGGAAGTTTGAACTACAGTGAAAGAGATTATGCAACAAATGAACAGATTGGTGCAGCAATTGGAGAGTCGAGGCGGGAGACATTGAGCATTGCAGAGAATGGGTTGGTGAACCACCAGACGCAGCAAAGCCAGGGTATCATCTTGAACGTATCCTGGAGCCGTAGGGAAGATTCATGTTGCGTGGGCTTGTGGAATTTGGATTAAATGGAATTTGAATTTTGCATGAAGAGTGCAGTTGGAGAATAAGTTGGGGGAATCAAGCATGCAGATATGGCTTTTAAGCTGAAAGAGGTGGCTGCGCACAAAGGACTACGCGACCGCAGCATACTGGAGTGCCGTCTCGTATGCGTCTTGCGGCAGATACTGCGGATTGGTCTGCGAACACTGAATAATCATGTGGCATGATGAACTGCCTCGACAGCTATTGAGCGGCCCACGAGGTTTGTTCTAGCTTCCTTATTGGGCTAGGGGAAGCTGAGAGGATTTTGAATTCCTCAGGGAGCATGGGCCCGTCTGCTCATCCCGACTGGGGGGTTTAATTCTTGAGCTCTCGGTAGCAACACCTGCGCGCATAGCGCGAATATTAGTGCACATGGGGATAATCGTTTGAACAGCACCGTGCACTGCCGGGCCCCTTTGACATTGAGGACGTACGACGAGGAGAGAGATGAGAAGAAATAAGTTTAATTGGATGGGGATCAAGAGGCTATTTAAAGCGTACTTTTCTGCATGCTCGGACATCTGAGTAGAAGGAGAGTATATGAAGCGGAGAAGGCTAGCTCGTACTACGAGAATGGAATCAAGTCGGAGCCATAATTTCGTCCAGCACTCCAGATAACGCTAAATTGTTGACAGGAGCGATGGTTGAGCGCTTTGGGCTGTGGTTGAATTTGCTGCGGGGTCTCGTGAGCACCCTGCGAGGGAGTTTTCAGTAATCCGTAGTTGTGCTGATGGAGAAAATGGATTCCACCAACCCAGAACATAGAGGAGAAGAGGGAAGCAGAGAGAATGGAGATGAGTGCAAATGGAGAAAAGACGAACGGTTAATTAATCCCCCAAATGTGTCTTAAATTGTACAGTCCGCAGTTGTTGAACCGCTATTCCGGGCCCCGGGCGGATCCAAATCTGCGGCGAGTGTGAAGATTAGCCTTGATGGAGATGCAGTGAAAACTGCGGTGAAGCACTGCGTGTTGGAATGTGTGACCTAGGGCTGGGTATTAAATGGCTGTGTAATTTACACCCGGAAAATTACATGTAATTTGCAGGTAATTTACAAACATTCCATGGGACCTCTCGTTCCGGCTGTAATTTTTGTAAATTTCCCAACAGTCCTCCGGGTGCCTCAGCACACTCTGGCGGCGTGGCAAACCACCGCCAGGCTCTTGCACTACTCGGAGCACATCAACTGTTGCTCAGAAGCCAGCACAGTGGACCGCGCAGAGTGCGTCTCGGAGCAAGGACGGTAATTCTCTGCGTATTTTACAACCTTTACAACCTTTACAAACTTTACACCCATTTTTTACTGTAATTTACGGTAATTTTTGCGGCCTGCGGCGCTGTAAATTAAGGTAAATTACAGGCCACTCTTAAGATACGAGGACCCCCTTGAATTGAGACCGTAAATTACATCCGGGTTTGGAAATAATACCCAGCCCTAATTATTTATGTGTCCACCGGGTCAAACTGCGCGTCGAGAACTTAGCAGGACGAGGGAAGAGACGAAAGAAAGGAGATAACCTGCATGGGGATGTCATTCGACCCCGTGTAGTGGTAGTCCAGTTTTAAGCGCGGGGGTCCGATCAGGGTTTGCCCTTATTACATAATCACGTTTTGAGGCCCTTGCCCCAGTCCTTGAACTTCGAATATATCCGTGGCAGAATAGTAGAGGTGTTTTCTGTGCACCCAAATTTTCTCAGATTTTTTGAGCACCGTGGGCCGAAGCTATTGATGAGTGAAGTTGATGGGTTTTTGGCACGTTGATGTCCCATGGGATTGAAGTATGAGCTGTTGCGTGGATTCAAGCACCATTTAAAAAAATTCAGAGCGGCAGATCATCTCTAATAGGCTCTAATGTCGAGTTCCACGCCAAAAGAACAGAGAAAAGGGTGCCGCAGAGCGAAAACGACCAAAACACAGCTAAGCGAAGATTATGTAATAAGGGCGAACCCTGATCGGACCCCCGCGCTTAATCACAGACTTCAATCAACCGAGGTACGAGGTTAATTTGATTGAAGTGTCTGGCTCTGAGAGACCAGTGTAGTGGTATAAATTCGGAATGAATTGTTCCAATCACCATGACCAGGTATGGTATGGCCATAAGAATTTGTAAGAAGCCTCCTCCAATATTTCACAAGGTTTTCCCACTCTATGTTGAAATTTTCGAGAGGTTTTTTCTTCCGATCTGACCTTGTTTGACCTTGTGAGCTTGTCACAAGGTCACAAGGCCAAACAAGCTCCCAGCTGATTGTTACATGGCTGATGCTGGGGTACAAAGCCGTACAAAGAATTGAGGGACATCTCGTTAAAGACCGGTTAATAGGGTCTTTGTAGGTATCTTTGTCAATGACACATCATTTGGTGGGCTTCTCTAATCATACAAATTCATAACAGAGAAATAGAAAGGTTTCCTTGATAATAACTTGATTCCCCGAAGACCATAAGTCCCTGTACCAAAAATATGGTACAGGGACCAGAAGTGGTCCTTTCCGCTCGAACGCGAACCTTCATCTACAGCTACATGTAAGCGGTAGCCCTATCCGGCAGAATATAGTTCTGTTAGAACCCCTTATTAGACAGTGGCCGGGGTGCGGGATATTGAAATTCAAACTCCGCCTGGTGGAGCCGGTATGCCGGTGGTATTGATGGTGGTATTGATGATGGTGTGCATTTCCAACTCACACCGACAATTGTCATATTTAGGGCCCACCCAGGTGCAATTTGAACACCCAAGTGTCGAATTGCACATAGGTGGACCTGAAATTTAATTTACTTCTAGTACTTTTGGTCCCACTGATTTTGTAACCTAAAATAATAGAATAAAATTATGATTTGGCTGGTATGAAACCCATTCAAAAGCCTATGATTTAGATTACACAAAAGTCCAACTGAGATTGAAAACCGAAATCACACTGATGATTATCATATTTTGGGTGACCTGAAACTTTATTCGAAACTAATCCGTGAAATTTCCCATTGGTTCGGCATTTCCCGGACCAATGGGAAAATTTGCGGACTTGTTTCGAATAAAGTTTCAGCTCACCCAAAATACTTATGATAATTGTTGGTGTGATTTTGGTTTTCAATTTCAGTTGGACTTTCGTGTAATCTAAATTGTAGGCTTTCGAATGGGTTTCAGGGCAGCTGAATCATAATTTTATTCTATTACTTTAGGTTACAAAATCAGTGGGACCAAAAGTACTAGAAGTAAATTAAATTTCAGGTCCACCTATGTGCAATTCGACACTTGGGTGTTCAAATTACACCTGGGTGGGCCCTAGATATGATAATCGTCGGTGTGACTTTCAAACTGCCAGTTAATTTTTGATGGCCGATTGTAGACCCCGAGCACTCCTGAGTTTCCGCCTCAGGCCCCTATCCGGATTTAGGCATTATTCTCGGCAGCCTCGGCATCCCATCAGTTTCATCAAACTTCCCTGTCAAACGATCAAACGATCACAAAAATACCTCTCCTTCCCCTTCTCCATTCTGCGAATTCATGGCCTAGCACCGGCCAGCATGTTGACCCCACAGTGGTAGTCAGTTGCCTGGCCCTTCGCATACCCGTCGCTTTTACACCGGTGCGCCTCTTGGCTTTCTTTGACATTTGACACTTCGTCATTTGATCCGATCACGTCACTCCCACTGCCTGCGCGCTCACAACTCTCGAGTGCAAGGACGTTGAGAAAGGTTGAGAGCCGCTTTCTTAGTTCTGGTCCATCCTCAGGCAATATATCATCAGCCTTACAAAACAGAATGAAATCCTCACTAAAAGTCAATGCATTTGCCGCCGTGGAAGCCTTGAACGGGTCTGAAGGATGTTTGATGGAGTGCCGAGGCTGCCGAAAATAATGCCTAAATTCGGATAGGGGCCTGAGGCGGAAACTGAGTGAGTGACCCCGAGCGGCTTGCCAAATATCACGCAGTGGCGCACAGAGCATCCAGATAACATAAACCAGTGAAAGTGAATCCTTGGTAATTGTAAAGGCGATCCCAGACAATCGTCGACACCCAATGACCCAGAGACTGAGCTTGTACATCTCGGACATCGCCATCAGTTCGGCCATCAATGTCATCAATGTCATCTCGGCAGGATTGATGCGAACACAACCCTTCTCTCCCAAATATTTACCGATTCCCGACGCAGTACACCGTACGCCACGTCCGCTTATTTCCTCCCTATGGGTTGGATACATGAAAGCTTCTCTGTTCGGAGTAATCCGAATGAAGTGGGACGTTGCACGATAACTACACTTGCAGCCGGCCCGTCTGGCTGCTTGGCCTATGTGTACCATCAAATTGGGCAGCAATGCACCGTACACCACGTCCGCTTATTCATGGGATGAATATATGGAAGCTTTTTCGTTCGGAGTAATCTTGAATAAAAGCACAGTGACGACCGGAAAATGCGGACGCATGGAGTCGAACCCCGTCTGGCTGCTTGTCCTACGTGTACCATCAAACTGGGCATCAGTGCACCGTACACCACGTCCGCTTGTTCCCTCTCTTCGTGGGTTGGATATATGAAAGCGTTTCCGTTCGGAGTAATCTTGAATAAAAAGCACGGTGAAGACCAGAAAATGCAGACGCGGGGAGTCGAACCCCGCCTTGCTGCTGGTCCTGCGTGGCGTCATAAAACTGGGCAGCAGTGCACCATACACCACGTCCACTTATTCTCTCCCTTCATGGGCTGAAATGTAAAAGAATCTTGCGCGCAGAAAAGGCTTGCGTGTGAGAGATATGGATGCGAGGTGGAATTGGCTCCCCGATGCGGAGGAGCATGTGCAATATGCTGAGTGGGCACATGCCCTGAGCGAAATCGAAACTCAGGAACAGTGTCGTGCATAGAATAATAATGTATTTTTCGTGACGGGAGCCTCGCGGCACTGGTTCAAAAGTGGGCACGAGATCGGCGGTAAAATTTCCTTGTTCAAAGACTCGATTCACGCTCCAGAGGGCCTGGAATTTTCCCGTGCAAGTTGGAAGATAATGAATTAATTCATCTGTCCTTTGGCTTAGTTTGTGTAGCATAGCTATTATATTAGTGCACCGCGCTCCCCATCCAAGCCCCATGAAATTCTGGTGAGTACAGCGCCTGCGAGGAATATTGATGTCAATGTGCCAATTTGCTACCAAATTACTCATTTGATTCGGTCGGAAACTTGCATATCTGAGCGGTTTCCCTAAAATACCTTAGGTAGTCATTGCTGCCGGTTTCAACTGTAGAAGATCCGCTGAGAGCATCCGACGAAGACAGACCGAGGGATCACAGCTATTATGCTCTTCTAGATCAGTTGGCCCTCCCAAAATCCTTGTGAGTAGAAGAACGGCGAGTGCGCTATGAATGGAGTAAACATGATCAGAGACGAAAAAGGTAAAAGAGAAACAAGGCCACCGCCCCCTGCACCATAGCCGCGTCGCTCAGTAAGAGGGGCCAATTCATATTGATTATATGCTAACGGAAGACGTCGGCAATTCATATTGATTGGACTCTGTGGAATGACTGTTACATGTCATGCCGCGGGGAAAGGGGCAATGTTGTGATGCCATTTTGGTTGGTGGCCAGCGCAATTTTGTACTTTGTTCCGTCCTACTTTAAATTTGTCCGGCTATCACCGAAGCACGAGACGATTCATCCAACCTGCCTGTCCTCAACCGATTCTCCAGAAGATCTGGCGGGGAAACTAATATCACCCGCCGCCGGAAACCGCAACTGAGGAATAAGTATCTCGATCAAGCCAATTCATGTGACCGCGATGTGGCACGTGTCGGGTACTCCTGCTTACCGACCGTAACGTTCTTATCGATTACCTACTCTTCACTTCCTCCTCCCATGGCTCCCTCAATCAAAGTCGGCGACACCATTCCTCACGGCGAATTCGGGTACATCCCCTGGGCCCCCGAGCTCGAGGACAACGTCAGTATCCTCCGCATCACCACCCAGTTCCCAGCTAACGAGCTCGCGATCCGATTAGCTCGCGTGCGGCGTTCGTACGTGGCTCGCTACCGTTGCGAGGGCAAGATGACTGATAGAATGATACAGCGAGCAAGATCAGTACCGACGACTGGAAGGGCAAGAAGGTCGTGCTGTTCTCCGTCCCCGGCGCGTTCACGGTACGTCCCCACCCAGCTACGCCCGTGGAAGAATTCGATATGCTCACTAGCGACGCAGCCCACCTGCCACACGAACCACCTCCCGCCGTACCTCGAGAAGCACGCCGAGTTCAAGGCCAAGGGCGTCGACGTCGTTGCCGTGATTGCTGCGAACGACCTCTTCGTCATGAGCGGCTGGGCGCGCTTCGAGGGCTGCAAGGATAAGGTGCCCTTGCGTCCCCCCCCTATATCCCCCCCTCCCATCTCTTCTCTACGTATCACCTTCTGACCCATTCTCCTGGCATTCCCATTCCCATTCTAACTCCCCCCCAGATCCTCGCCCTCTCCGACGCCAACGCAAAGTGGTCCGCCTCCCTCGACCTCGCGCTCGACCTCACCGACCGCGGCATGGGCGTGCGCACCAACCGCTACGCCATGATCATCGACGACCTCGTCGTCAAGTATGTCGAGGTGCGCTCCCATTCTCTTATCATTCTCATTTGGGTTTGCGGCGCTATAACGCGATGCTGATTCGCACGCAGGTCGAGCCCGCTCCAGGCGTGACCGTGTCCGGCGCCGACGCCGTGCTCGCCAAGCTGTAATGAACGCAATCAGAGATCGCAGCGGCGAAGTAGATGATCAAGTATAGACGAACTGTACCAGGCGTGTATGTGAATATAAATATGAATATGAACACGAGAAGATGAACACGAGAAGAGATGGCAGATGTATGGATCGCAGAATCTGATAGATGTAGCGATGCCAGCCAGCCACAATAGTCGGCCCCAATCACCGACCGCTGAGATGAACGAGATGGAGGCAGGTGGTTGGGAAAGAAGATACTCTATCCAGTCTAGACTGGATATCGTGTCGTGTGGTCAGACCGCGTGTGTGGGTGGGTATAGGGGAGCTCGTTGAATGCCTTCCGGTCTAGATCTCATTCCAGGGAAATACGCACGAGAATATTAATAGGCTTAAGAGTCGCTCGGCAGTCTAAGCCCGGCTCCGGAAAGAAATCGCTCCTCGTCTTCTCTGAACGTGAGCCCAATTGTCATGAGCCCCTTCACAACGTCGACGCGTCAGTACACATCCATGCCATCCTTCAAGTTACATTCGTTCAGGCACTGAACTTGACCATCGCTGACCCCGTTCCCTTCCCAACGACGTCAGCGAGTCGCGCGTCAAGTCAGCCACCAAATCGAACCAAAAATTGAACCGTTCAATTAATTCCCTCGCTCTACCCAGGCCGAGTCGTGCCCACGCTGTATCCCGAACGCAATCAGACAAAGAAGTAGATCATCAGCGATAGACGAGCTGGACCAGTCGTGCGTGTGTGTGCGAATATATATGAGATGCGAACCTGATGGATATATGTAGCGATGTCGGGATCCAGCCGTGCGTATGAATAGATTATAGTCAACGGTCGGTACAGGCGCCCAATCACCGAGCGCTGGCCATGGAGATAAATGAAATGGAAGCAGGTAATTTGGTGGTTGAGGGAAACAAGGTCCTGGATGTAGGGAGTATGGCGTGTGCGTGAGTATTAGACCAGCTGGCCAGGTCGATGGACACCCCTCCATCTATCGTCTTTCGTATTCGCACACCCACACGCGACTGGTACCATTTCAAAGTCGTCTACCTGAGCATCTACGTCTCTGCTGGATCTCGGATTGCGTTCGACAGGATTACAGCTTGTCGGCGCCCGAGGAAGTGAGGCTGGCCCTGGCCGCGAAGCAAGGGAGTATTGATCCAAAGGGGTCGATTTGTGGTTTGTACATTTTAACCGAGGCTCGGAGTTGGGAGTGAATAGCCTGAATCGGAGGCCGCGCCACAGCGGTACGCGGGCCCAATCCCCGAGCTACGGGAAGAAGTTACTGGATGCAAGCAGTGCCTTGTGGTTAGACCCGCGTGTGTCCGAGATTATCCTCAGGGTTGAATACTTGAGTCGCCCGATTCGCATTACACCGACTCTCTTGGGTCCGCCTTTTTAACGGCGGATGCTCCAGCGTTTCTTACGCCAGCGTCCTCAGCCTACATCCACTCCAGAGACTCGAGTAGAATTCGAGGCGATCGTAATGCATTGCAACGCTAAAAGTCGGGCCCTCCGCCTTCTCTTCCCTTCCCACCTTCCGAGCTCCGAGCCTCGCTTGGGTTTAGATTAAAACAAAACCATTAACAAAATCGAACCAAAAGGCCGATTTCAAGTTGAACTCCGGCTCCACTTGTCAATTATTTTTTTCCGGTCCACCAGTGGCTAAGCATACCTGCGTCCAGCCCTCGCAATATAATTAACACACTCTCGCTTCACGACAGGAGTGGTCAACGACTTGAACCGTCGGCCGCATAAATAGGTAGCCCATCACGATTCAGACTGAAACAGCATTTTCTCCCAAGCCGATATCGACATCCAGCAAGGACTTGGACGGACAGCAGACACGTTGAAATTTAAACCTCTTGCGTCTACAGGAACGAGCAGAAATGGAATTAGGTCAAGAGTTCCAGATATTCTGAATCGGAGGTCAACATCTAAGCCAGAGCACTGTACTCTGTGGGTGATCTGTGCGTGGGCGCCATTGTGGCATTCGAGATGTGTACTACTGTATGCCGAACTCCAATTTGCGGATTAAGAAGTCGGGATCCAAGCTAGCAGGCGCAGGCCCCGGTCACTACCTTTGATGGCGGTCGGACATAGAGTAAATCAAGGAGCGAAGATGACCCCTACTTCCAGCCGCCACATAGAGTAAATCAGCTCCGACCGGCCGAGAGTCCGTCTAGCATAGAGTAAATCGCACGGAGCGTGAGCATTTTTTTTTTTCAACTACATACAGCAGTGTGCTCGGTGTTAAACATAGTCCAAGTCAGAGACAGAGCGCCTGTGGTAGGGCCTGACTTGGACGGTCCATGGATGATCCATCATCCATTGATGGCATCCATTGGACAATCACTGCATTCAAAGGCCTGGTAGCCGAACACACGTGGAGGCCGTGCTAGGCCTTGGCTATTAATGGCTAGGCCCCGTCGATCCCTCGGCTATCCGGCTCCACGAGGCAAATCCGGCTATGTCCTTGGAGCCCGTGCTAGCTATTGGCTCCGTCGCTTAGCCGCATCATGTGGAGCCCCGCCCGCACACCCGCTGCTCCCCGCCCACTAGTGCCCTGCTCAATTCCACTAATGTATGCCTCTTACAGATGGCCCCGAATGTCCAAGTCGCGCTTGTCGTGGTGGACTTTACTTACAATATCTGTGATTAAAATTGCCAACAATGTTAAGCTTTCTCTACCAATTTCTATGTTTGGCCCGTGGCCTCGAGGTGAGCGCTGAGCCCTGAGCCCTGAAGAGTGGTAAGCACATTTTGACACATAGCAGCCGGCAAGATAGGGGTGGAACCAAGAGGGACTCCAATTGGACGAAAGCAAGATTAAAAAACGAAGTTTTTGGATTCCATCAGTGGTGTTACAAGTACACGTCATTGGTATACAGTGTACACAGCGGGAGGGGAGTGCAAGAAGCCTAAATAAGGCAGGAGTGAAGAGGAAGGACGGCCAAAAATGCTATGTCATGGCCAGCTCTAGTGGAG